GCCCAAATTAGAGCCGCTGCTCCTCCACGTTGAGCGGAATCAGTTGAGGTGGCTCGGGCACCTGTTTAGGATGCCCCCTGGACGCCCCCCTGGGGAGGGATTTCAGGCATGTCCCTCCGGGAGAAGGCCTCAGGGCAGACCCAGGACATGTTGGAGAGACTATGTCTCCCAGCTGGCCTGGGAACGCCTTGGGGTTCCTCCTGAGGAGCTAGAGGAGGTGTGTGGGGAGAGGGAAGTCTGGGGGGTCTGCTCGGGCTACTGCGACTCGGTCTCAGATGGAGCAGACGAAGATGGATGGATGGATGAACTTATGCACCTACATTTCATGTAGACATCTAACTACATTAAATGTCTAATTTCACACAAGCAACATGAAGAGAAGTCCTAAAAATACCGTTATGTTTCCGCAGGTACAGCAGGTTCAGGTTTTTGCGGACGTCCAGTGCACAGTGAACCTGGTTGGCAGTGACTCCTACCTGAACCAGGGCTCCATTGGAGCTGCAGCTTCCCAGAAGGGCCCCGGTCCACAGGGCTCCCAGAACAACCAGGCGCAGCAGAAGAGCCTCCTCCAGCAGCTGCTCACTGAGTGACACCTCTCACCCCTCCAGCTCTCCTACTCCCTCTGCTTCTCACTTGTATGCCTCCTCCTCAGAGGTCGGTGCACCAGACCCATTGCTGTCTCTGTCTCACCTTTGGATAGATGGATGATTGAATGAACACAGAGTAGGCTCGGAGAGCTCTGTCTGTCGGTGGGGTCACACAGCCTAACCACTTCTGTGTGGGGGGATCGGGACTGGTTGTTTTACCGCCAAGTACTTAAAGAAAAGATTGAAGTCAGAAGGAACAGCAGTGTATTTAAACCTGCCTGTCTAATCTGTCTGACAACCTGTCTGTCTGCCTCAGCCTATTAAAGGCAGTGTTGTCTTGCTGCTCATTCCTTGGTGACCTACTTCCTGCTTCCTGCAAACAACTGCAACATCATCGTAGATTTGCCAAGTTGTCGTCACTGTCAAATCAGGGCTGGCCTCCTTTTGTTTTTTGTTTTTTTTCCTGATCGGATGTTTTCTGTCAGGCCATCGCAGCAGTGCATCTTGGGAGCATGAGTCAGGGTGTACAGCTGCGCTCAGTGTTTAAAGTGTGGGATTATCCCGCACAGCAACACCTCTGGCTTTTTATTTTTGTTTGTTTTCCTCTACCTGTCTCAGCGATGTGGGAATGTTAAGGTTTCTGTGGCATTGTGGGATAGGGGCTCAGGATCAGCTGGCTCTGTGACTGTCTCTCTCTATCAGCTGCAGTGCCTGGTGGAAGTTTGAGTTTTTCCCAAGCTCTGCTTCTTCTTCTTCTCCATATTATTCTTTTATGTCTTCTGTTTTAGTTTACGTTTTTGTTTTGGTTGAATTGTTAAAGAAAATCTTCTGCTCTCACTCATCATCATCATCATCATCATCATGATTATCAGAACAAGCTTTTTCAACAGCCAGGATGGATGGATGGATGGATGGATGGGAGACAGACGGGATGCTGCTCAGTTTGGAACTTACATGTCTTTCTCCCCTGGGAGGAGGTTATAGTTTTATTATTTTCAAAGTATAAAATAGACTGTTATGATTATTTAACTGTTTGTCCGTCACATTTTACCCCTCACCTCAGCAGCTGTGAATACAGAGCCCTGTTGGGTTCTTCTTCTCTCTCTCTTTCTGTGTATCTTTCTTGCTATCTCCCGGCCTATCAGTGTTGTTTGCCACGTGCACCATGCAGGCGGCTAGTATTGTACAGTACAGAAGGACAAAGACCTGGGGGTGTAGCTCACTCCTCTCTTGTAATTGCTTTCCATTAAAAAGTGTAATTCATTGATTACTCAGAGCAGAAAAACTATATACAATGTGATTTGATCCCGTTTTTTTTTTTTTAGTTTTCTTAAAAAAAAAAAAAAAAATTGGGTAATCTCAGCTCTGTTATTTTTTGGCATCATGATATTGCAATACAGCTGAATGTTGCAGTGGAGGAGGAAGTTATTCCATCTTCTAAAATGTGAAAAGAAATTTTAAGCAGTTCAAATATAGCTAGATCTCACTCTCTGCGATGTCCCGTTCAGCGCGCCACAAGAAGCCGCACTTTGTGGGGAAAAAGGGTTGGATTGCTTCGCTTTCTCTTGTGGTAACCAGGGAGCTAGTTGGCCACCGTTTCTTGCTTTTTCCTCTTTTTTTTATTCTTATGTATGTACAATACTTTTGAGAAAACATTTAAAAGAGTACATTGTGTTGTGTAACCATTGTATAAAAAAAGTATAATAATACCTTAAACCTTGTTCTTTGCTGTGATTATGCATCAACGTTGTGTCCATAGTCGCATCAAACGACACGATTTTGGATATTGTTCCTATATAATGGCATTTAAGTAGAAGCTTTAGTAATAGAAGTTCCTAACAAACGGATAATTAATTTAAAGATGTCATGACAATGAATCAAAACAGGATGGGGGTTGAGTCTCAGAAAATACACCCGGTTATTTTCCTTTTGTTTTCTCCTCGCCTCCTGCGAGTCTGTATGATCAGTGTTGTTCTCACCGAGGGCTTTTTTTTGGGATTCAACCTTCTTTTTCCCACCGCTTCTGGTTCCCGGATGAAGACTTCACTCCAGTGACTACACACACAGTCAGTTTTCTGTCGACTACTGTTGCTCAGTCAGACACTGTCTCTCTCAGCGATAACAGACCTCTGTAAACAGCAACATCCACTCTTTTCACCTTTACACCTTAGAGAAAGTAAAACCCTGCCGAGACGTTGCCTCTAAATATTCTTTACATGGTTAAATTAATGTGAAGAGACACGTATGCTCTTTATATCATGCATAAATTGGGATATGTTCAGGGCACGGTTGGTTCCAGGTGTTGGATGCGAGGCTACATCTGGCCTTCTTTACACAGGACCGGTTCTATCAGGGGACAGCCACTGGTTTGTAATGACCACAAAGGTCCTCAGCAGTTTTCCTCCAGTCAGATCTGCTGTGTCTGTACTCCAGCACAAAACCAGACGTTCCCTGATTGAACGGATCCTGTGAGTCTTTGTTTTCAATTCACTGTTACAGTTTTTTTTTTGTTTGTTTTTTTTATATCTTTCTTCTGTCAAGAAAAACTTGGAGTGGAATCTGTGGAGAGGGTTTTGCACACAGCGCAGACCTCACATTCAGGTATTAGGGCATTTCATCGCCCCCTGTAAAATGAGTGTCACAACTACCTAATCGGTCACTCACTTTAGGTCAACAGCATACAGTCAGATGCTACTTCAGTGGAATAGGGCTTTCCTGTGTACTGTTTTTACAGTGAGACCTCACCTTATGCAACATTACCCACATTTAGAGGGAGAGTATGCAAGGTCAACATTCCACCCACCAAATCTTCCAGTGTTGTGTGATGTGAAATCCAAACAGTGGCCCGGGAGCGTGCACAGCCTTTAACAGATTTAACTTGAAATGCAAAAAGCCTCCTGGACTCAAACAGATATTCAAAAATCATTTTCCAAGAATCTGACATTAGAAAAGCATGTGGATAGCGTCGATAAAGGTCCACATTGGGTTAGTTTGTTTTCTGCAGCCTACTGATGTACTCATGTATATCACCTGCCTAACACGGTTTTCAAGATATCATTTTGATTCAACGTTGCAGTTTATAAAGCACTTACAAAGCTTAAAGCAGATTATTTTTAAAAAGTCCATCGGTTTTCCAGAGCCGCACACAGTTCAGAACCAAAATATATTCAGTTTACAGCTGGTATATTGAACAGCGAATCTTCAGTGTAGAAGCTGGAACCACCCATTGTTGCTTTTGTTTACTCGATAAACAATGTAAACTATTTATTGATTATCAAAATAGTCACCGATTTACAGGTCTAGCGAGGTCCACAGAGGTAGACACCTCAGCCCTCAAATTTAAGTAAAATGTTCTGCTTTCTCAGTTTAAAACCTCCTGAACTGAGACATTTCACTGCTGCACAAATTCTGGGTAACTCAGTGAAAAGATAAACGGTAGAGGACGGGAGTGCTGTAGTAAAACCGGTCGAATTAGCTGTTTAAAAGCAGCTTTAGCAAAGGGAAGCGAGTGAGTCCTCAGACAAGGTTTCCCTTCCACTTTCAGCTTCTGATGTTTCATACAAATGAGTGTTCACCTGTTCCACAGCGGATTGACACCTGGGACAGAGCTGGGAAGAAAAAGCCAGTTGGTATTGTTGCAAAGTCAAATTTGTTGAGGCCTTTTAATATCTGCACTTACATTCTTGTCCATGCTGCACTTAACTATTGATAAAGAAGGAGAAGTATTTGACTTAGAGGATGAAAGCACTTCATGTTTTACCATGTTGTTCTGTTTTATGGAGATGTCCTGCTGGACGCAGGACATTTGACCATGTGCCCATCCCGTGCCACTGTCTGAGACAGAAGCTGCACAACGTGTTTTTGTCAGCTCTGAAGATTTCACACATGCACTACTGACACCCCACTCCCTCCTCTTACTTCTCTGTGTGGAATAGGCATTCCTATGGACGTGGTTTTCCTCTTCAACCCTGCAGAAACTCAGCAGCAGCTTGTCCTGCAGCAAAAACATGCCAAATAGAACCAGTACAAATATAAATTTTGTTTATGCAACAGCCATTCAGTGGAACTGACGCTCCCTCCCTCCTCACTACAGTTAACAGGTACATTAGGTTCTTTTATAACATTGGTTTCAAGATGTTAACATGATGTATATAACAGAAATGTGAATATGTATTTGTTCAGAATCAACAGAACAGTAGTGCTCCAAGTTGGTGGTAAATAACTACTCGCCTCTGTCATGTTTTTATTTTGTTTTAATTTTCTACATTTTTATTTTTCTGAAGTTTGTATGTATGTATATGACTATCAGTGAATGCGTATGTATGTGTGCAAGCGATTAATACTGTATATCTGGTGTTCTCGAAGATGGAAAAGTTGAAGATGTCCTGGTTTGATTCTTTTCTTTTACTCTTTAAACCCTACACAGTACCTGTGGGTGTTTCAGATAACTATGCCAGAGAATGGTTTAGCGACTGCTGAATGTGATTTTACTGAGAGAGAAGCAGTGTGAACTGGCTTTTTGTACGGGTTAATTTTTTTAAAAAGGCCATATTATTTAATTTTCTCTGTTGTCAAAGGTTTAAGCAGATCTGGGAGAGTGGAGCCTTGGTTTTATGGAGAAGCATTGCCCGGTCGGCGTGTACGTGAGTGGGCTTTCTTGTTCTTTTCTGACCGATGGAGCCTTTTTTCTGTTTTGCATTTGTCACTAGTAAATGACCAAAGCTTCAAGATGTTTGACAGATATCATATGCAAACCTCATCATCACTGGACAAAACGGTGTTAATGGTTAATTTCTAGTTTTCTCACATGACAGTTCTCAGCTTGTGTTCGGCGTTCTGCATGTTTGTCTCACCTCGCCTGCTGCTTTCTAGACACGATCTGTCCTTTAAAGTGGCCTCTCAGCAACAATCTGTGATGTCCCAGGGTTAGGTCAGCTCAGAGACATCTCCACTTTGCCAGTGACCCTGAAGTGCTATTGCTTGCTTGCAGGAAAAAAGAAGACTTGGCAACCCTTAGCTATGCACCTTACTGAAACAAGCATTTCCTCACGTATGTCAAAGTAACACTGGAATGTCACTAAATCATCAATTTCACAAGCGACTTAATCTTACACTGACCACAAACAGGCACTTCAGTGGGAGTTTCCCCCTAAACAAGTTTAGTCTGGTGAGTTTAGTACATCTGATGACCTTCCTCAGCTTTTAACCTCATTGTTGGAAAATAAGCCCTCATCTTTTTTCCATTAACAGAATACTTTATACCAAACTTGAGGTGCCTCGTGTATATATTTTCTGCAGTAAAGATTGCTCCTTTGCTGTTTAACAATAACAACCTTGTTAACCAGGGTTTTTTTTAAACCTTTTTTCACCTTTATAAAAAAAAGTTTACTGTATTTTAAATGACTTTTTTACACATGTAGAAGATTAATCAAATTATTCCAGGAATTTGCAAATACAATCTAATTTTGCACTTTATAAAAGGCCATGAGAATCTGTTTCAATCAGATCTAACTTAGCGATAGAACAAGTAATGTCTCCTGAATGTACCAAGAAAACATTATACTAGTTTAATTGATTTAAAATGATTGAATTACTCAGGTTCTTTATGAAGAACCAGACCGTAGTGGATTCCCGGAATCCAAATGGAGACGAAAAATTGTATCCGCTCTACCTTCTTGGTACCGTAGTCTTCTCTCTGCCTCTTTCTTTCTCTGCGATCCTCAGTGTAAATACTATGTCGATCTTCTTCAGGTGACGTCCCTCCCCTCCTCTCCCTCCTCTCTGCGCTGTCGGCTGACACCAAGTAAACTGTTACAAACCTCCTCCAGCTTCAATCTCAGAACATTGCTGCTCACAACACAGTTTCAGCAGCTGTCACCACGTTGCTCTGCAGCTCCCGGTGTTCATTTTCCTCCCCTGCAGCTTTGAACGGGTTTTTCCTTAAACCAAGGTGGACGCTCGCTTTTTATTAGTAAAAAATCAAAAGTCTGGTTGTTTGAGACTTAACCTCTGCTATTTAGCAACAACGGTGCACTGACATGAATGACAACACACTAACTGTGCTGCTCGTCTTCTCTGTTTTCCTTGTCTTGTCACACTTTTGTGCTGCCTGATGTAGAATAGTTAGCGGTGTGCCTGATACCGGGATCGGGCTAATGCCTGGTGTAGGTAATCATATTTAGTGAAAGGGAAATTCATAAAAAAAAATCACTTATTCCAAAAAGTAAAAGAGGATACAGGTCATAGTCAAAAAGATGACTCATTCTCACTCGTCATTGGTCCAAAATGGTATTTGTGCACCGCTAAGACCCACTCATTCCTAAAGCAGGTGTTCAAATCTGTTACCACAACGTCAGTTGGTCAGGTATTGTAAGCACGGCCTTATTGGGACTGAAGTCGAACATGGTTCAGAGATTTAATGGAAGGTGTATCATGGACTCACCACTTTGTGTGGTTACGGTGGCAGTAATGCTTTCTCTAGAGCATTTTAGAGGAAGACCAAGGTTCCACTTTCTCCCATGTACAAATTAATATAAATAAATATCTAAATATATATTATACATTTTATTCATTTTTGTCCGGTTTTGTATATTACACATGTAAAGTTTGTTTTTAAAGAGGCATCGGAGCAGCTATTACAAGACAATATGAGTGACAATGTTCATCTGGGAGAATTTTATGCATGTTATATTTTCTCTTTTTCTCTCTGTCTCTTTTCAAAAAACTCCTAATCCCCCTGATCAGGTGTGTAAACGTGAATATAAACAAATCTGCTTTTCTTTGGAATGTTGTAGACAATCAGTCTCAGGCCGGGTCCAGTCCCTGCAGGGAGCGAGAGCCCTGTAGGCTGACAGACAAACAAAACTCTTTTTCTTTGACAATTAAAAACTCTTATTTGCATCTACTGGAAGTCTAAATTTGGAGGTTTGTTCATTCATATGTCCGTGGCTGCTCAAGTTTACACACACACTTCTCTACTACACTCAAGACACAAACCACCTCGTGCATTTGATCCCACTGCTTTTTTTTTCCAAGGTGAGGATGCCAACCTTGAGGAAATGATGCTTTGACTAACAAATCTATAACATCTATGAATGTGGGAATGCAACACATTGCAATAAAAGCACCATTTGAAATGAAGCATGTTGTCACTGTATGTTATTACCCCAAAAGGAATATGGAGGTTTTGTTGACTACGATTTAGTACATGACATAACTTATTTATTTTTGATAAAATGTTTTATCCAGTTCACTTTGAAGATTATATCAGAGTTTAAGTCTACGTGATCGAAGGAGTTACACCGAATGTTTCTACTTAAGTAGTGAGCTATATTTTTTCCATGTGAAGTTAAATAATGAGAGTATCTGTTTAGTAAAAGAATTTGAGGCACCCTAAAACTTTGGCTGACCTGTTTTTGATTAACATATGTCGCCTTTGAGTGATAAATCTCTCATGACATTAGCGATTTTACCTTTGTGTTGAATTAATTATTTTAATTTGGGAGTAATTCGAGCTTTGTGTAACACCACCATTAAACAACAAAAGAAGAAGAAGCTTTGTGTAACGTAAGGGCTTTGTTGGCCCCTGTTCAGGACTGTCCCTTCAACCCGCTGCAGTGCTGCCCTGGACCCGGCACAGTTGCTTTGGAGTGGTGGCTGTGTTTTGTACAGTTTGTCCCGACCTGGCATCTGTAATTTAGGTTGTTTCTATGAGGGGAGACGCAGCAGTTTGTTTTGAGTTTCACTAGACTTTTTAGTGGTCATGACAAATAGCAGAAATGTTTTGTTTTTCAGCAATACGCTGTTGGATTAAACAGTTTTTACTGACTAAAGCTTAAACACACTCCCGTTCTTGCCCATTCGTCCTGTTGTTTTCAGCTTCACAGATGAAGAACTGTGCTAAAACACCAAATACTATATTTGAGAAAGCCACAAAGACTCATTCAGGAAGAACATGCAATATTATTGTTTCAGAAATGTCACATTGCCATTTGTGTTCCTCTACCACAAAGGGAAAAGAGGGTTTCGGGGAAGTCGCAGCAAAAACAGCACAGTACAGAGGATTGTGTTTGAGGACATGTTGTTTCATATACTGGTGGGACAATGAAGTACGATGTGAGAAATCCAGTTTGAGGGGAGGATTTATAGGTTTAAGCACTTATTAGAAGCCCAAACTAGGTTGTAATACTGACAGCGTTATCCAACTCTGGAAAGTTATCACAACACCAGCTGTTTTACCTTTGGTCGTGACATTATCAATATAAACAGCAGAAAAACAGCCTTCACGTTACAAACTAACCCACCAGATGTGAGTTATAGAAAAAGCAGAACCAGATCTGACTTTTTCTGCATGATGCTACATTTGACAGAGCCCCACCTGGTGCCGAACTCCACTGCATAAAGGCACATCTGTCCTTCAAATGAATGAATAGGCTGCGTTTCTCCACGAAGGGCAAACGTCAGTTCATCTTAAAGTTCACTGGAGCTTGTAAAGATCAGCATAAGTACTCTTGTTTCTGATCTGTCCCCAGAATTCTCACAACAATTCAATGATTGGCAGCTTAATGTCCAGATCACAATGTAAAAGCAAACAAAATAAAACAAGAATCAACATGAAATTCAGTCTCTACATTTTTGTCTCGCCAATGACCTTGCTCTCTTGTTTTTCTATGGTTTTCTTGGGACCTAGGTAGTTGCTCTCTTCAACAGGTGGTGTGGGATTCCTGTGTTCATGGAGCTCCACTATGGGGTAGGTGATGCAGGTCAGTAGCAGAACAGCCAGCACGATGTACAGTTTATACTCCAGACATAAAAAGGTGCTGTAGGCGAAGGCGATAACAAATCCCAGAGATTCCCACATACGGTAGTTGGCAAATGCTGCCTCTTTGTCTCGGGGGAAGAGGATCCCGTAAAGAGCTGCAAGACAAAGTAGACAAAGGACCAACGAAAGTTAAGTTCAGGTGTTAAGAGATCACATGTTCAGAAACTGCTCTGATGGATCAAGACAAAGTAGACAAAGGACCAACAAAAGTTAAGTTCAGGTGTTAAGAGATCACATGTTCAGAAACTGCTCTGATGGATCAACACAACTGTCAGACAAAGAACCTTTTGGATTTACATCAGCTTTTTTCTGGACAGCCAGTAACCTCCATGTGTCTGCTCAGTGCATTGTATCAGAGTGACTACATCAGAGGGCTGATGGGATTTTCTTACCATTGGTCTGAGTTTGCCAGATGGCATCTGCCATACCCCACAGAGCAGGGAATACAAAAAAGACCGGCAGCTGGTCAGGGTGAGGCCTCCAGTACAAGAGAGCAATGATACAGGCAAAGTTGGCCAGAGCAGCTAAAAATGGGCAGACATGAAAGTCATTAATATGATATCCAAACTCAGAGATGAAATACAAAAAGTCATCACTATAAAGTATGTTGTATCTGCACAGCTACAAAAGAGGTTTTACCCCAGAGGAAGAGTGCAGCCCTGCCAGTGTACCGAGCCAGTCTTCCAAAGAGGAAGGAGCAAACAGAATTGGAGGCTCCGAAACACATCATCACAAAGCCAACAAAATGAATCCCCAAAGCACATGTCACGTAGTTCTGCAAGAAACCAGCATAAATTCATAAAACAAACTAATTACAGTATACATACTCTATAAGGCATCATTGCTTTGATTTTATGACACATGTCTCTCTGAGCTCTTTTCATCAACCTCCTGTAGGCAGCCGTTTTCACCAAACGAGCTCTGATCAACTCATCATAGGCAAACTTTCAATGCCAAACGCCAGCATTAATGACAAGTTGGTGAACAAGTGGAACATGGTCAGCTAAAACCGAGTGAACCTGGTTGCAGACAAGGTGGCAAACTGTCAACCGCACAGAGAGTTAGTCTAGTCAGAATTTGTTCATTTGTGCAGGTTTGTTGGGTCTGTGGTTCAGGGTGAGGTTCTGGTTAGGTGTAGAATTGGGCTTAGGTTTAACATCAACACAAAAACACAAATCTTGGTCACAATTTTCCATCTTGTCTAAGTATCATGTTTGTAGTAACTTTTAGTGAAGCACAGTACAGTTTAATGGGCTCGATAGGTGGCAAACACTTGTTTTCTTTCAACAAAATATCCTAAATTAAGCTAAACAAGCATGTTTGGTGCCAGGACAGGTTTGATTGAAATCAGTGCAAGTCAGAACAGGAGCAGTCGCAAATTATTTTCATATTACATTCCATGAAATGCTATTTCTAATGTCGTCTAATTTGTACCTTGATTTTACTAGGTTTTTAGAGAAGCTCTAAATAAGATTTTCACTAAAGTATGGACAGAAAGATAGTTACTGTGGTTCCACCTAGGGAACTTTCCCTGGAGAACAGGAACCGTTGCCAAACTTAGTTCCTCCACCTGCATTTCCACTGAAGGAACCAGGGTTTAAACTTGGCCCGGGGGCGTAGTTCTACTCCTCCAAAAGGCCCCCAGTCAAGGGGCTCTTTTTTCTGAAGGTCCAAGAAGTAAGGGTGAGGTTTGCAGTGCCAAACGTTGCTGATTAGTTAAATACCATGCAGCATTTTCACATACCATCCATCTATTCTTAACTTCCTGCTGCCGAACGTCGTGTTTTTGATACACTAATTAGTTTAATCTTCCTGCTGTGGAAATCAAATCACAGTGCACTAGAAGGATTTCTACCCCATGTAACGTTAATGGACATTAGTTCCTGGGAACAAAAAGTACCAGTAACCTTCTGGTGTAAATGCACCTTCATCCACGTTGTGGAGGTCTCACCTTGGTGTACTCTCCAGCGAGGAAGCTCTGTTCAAAGCCGCTGTACATGGTGAGAGGAATAAGGGTCACCAGCCTCCAGTCCTTCAGCAGCCTGAACGTGGCCAGGAACGTGTGACAGAATGGCTCCGGATTGCCACGAAACTGACTGGCCTGCTCCCGGTCAATGTTGTCCAGAAACACTGCCACGATGAGCATGGCCAGCACACCCACACCTGCCGCACAACAATTAACACACAACAGCTATTTAGAGAGATTCAATGAGATATGCTTTGCTAGTCTGGGTGCTTTCTGCCTTCAGTCTGGTCTTCAGTAAGTGGAATTATCTGAATTGAGGTTTAATGACTGACTTAGCCAGTAATACAGTCTGATTAGTTAAAAATACTTTAAATCTAAAAGTTTCTATCATTGTCCTGCAGCACTAATCTAGAATTTAGGGGTTACATGTTAAACAAAATCCTGCAGTATAGTTCCACCTCATTCAGTTTTGATTGTAAAGCCACATTAAATGCTGGCATTACCGATGTAGGAGCCAACGAGCGTCCACACCAGCTCCTGTGCAGGTCGGGTGGTGTTGCTGTTGACGCTGACATTAAGGCCACAGTCAGCGGCTCCACAGGACTGTAGCTGCTCCTCTGGGATGTTAGCTGGTGGGAAAAACAACACTGAGCTTAGAAAAATACATGTTGTCATCAAGGAAATAAAGAAAGGAAATTATTAGTATTGTTTCTTTTACTTGTAAAGAAAATATTGTTATACTTTACATTTTATAAAATGCAGTGCATAATCGTTTTGCAGTTCTTTATTCTGTTTTCATTAAAATGGAAGCATTATGTTTTTATAAATTGCTGTAAAAATAGTGAAAATGCTGACATACAATAACACATCATAGACACTGTGGGGCCTTTTCCCTACTTGTTTAAATGTTTCATTTAAAATATGAAATATATACATATGACTATGTAATAATGTTTTTTCTGGCTATTTAATTGAAAGCTAGAATATTTTAGAGTTAGCTTGTGTAAACCATGTGCCTATAACCAGTGATTTAGATATTGTCCTTCCAAGAAATGCACCTCAATAAATGCCTGCCATCGTATCGACTGATAAGCGAGATACAGTGATATACTGCACACTTAGCAACATCGCCCATCTCGGGACACAGCCCTTCTTATTCTGTTTTAAATTGGCCCCATAAAAAAGCTGTGAGATACCAGTTAGACCTTGCCTAGTGCCAGCCTCGTGTAGCAGGATTAGGTGCACAGGTCATGTAAGAGAGTCAAACTGACTCAGTTACAAGGAAAACAAAATAAGCTTTGACCTTCCAGGCAGCAGGAAGAAGTGAACTTCTCACTAGCAATGTTGCAATGATTGCTTGTTGCATTTTCACCTCTATTACAGATGAAAACATCCTCAAAATGCAATTTTTACAGCGGTGAAGGCAGAGTTTGTAAGAAATTAGATGAACATTTTTATGCTGGTGACTTCATCTTTTATGGCATCAGCTGAAAGAAACCCAGGCCCTGTCTAGGTCACAGGCTGCTTTTGATAAACTGTGAAACCTTAATCTAAACCTGCTCTGCATTCCAACTAGAATTGCCACTGTGTGGATGGACGCCTCCGCCAACCAGTCATATTCACAGGTGTGAGGACATGGTGAGCTTTGGCCACAAAAATCTACTCAGTGGTTTCATCACTTTCCCTTCCTGCCACTAACCTTTGCACAGTTCATTTCCAGTTGCCCTCCTACCTATATTGCTGTCCTGTCCAAAGATGAGTGATGACATGAGGTTTCCCCACACGGCAGATGATTGAAAGATGAAGAAGAAGATGCCAAAGTATTGGTTGATGACATCCGAGCCCTTTTTGCCCTCTCTGGCGCCCTGCACGTTACCGGAGATGGTCAGGTAGGTGCATTTGGCTGACCACAGAGGAGAGCCACCCAGACCTAGGATCACTGAGGTGGGGATAAGGGTGTACCTGCAGCAAAGAGCAAAGGTACATTCATTTCTGAGCCAATTATGTTTTTTTGTTTGTTTAATTTGGAGGATGTACTTCCTGCATCAGCTCAGGAAGTTTGACCTGCCTCAGGAGCTGCTGATACAGTTCTACAGAGGAATCATCGAGTCTGTTCTCTGCACCTCCATCACTGTCTGGTTTGGCTCAGCAACCAAACGGGACAAGTACAGACTTCAGCGAACAGTCAGGACTGCAGAAAAGGTCATTGGTGTGAGCCTGCCCTCCATGGAGGACCTGTACACCTTGCGGGTCAAAAGGAGGGCAGAGAAGATCACTGCAAATTCCTTGTATTTTAAAGTTTATGCTGCTTTTTGCCCTTTTTGTCACTACGTTGAACATAAGGAAGCTATAATCGCAATCTGATTGCTACCAGTTTTCTAATAGCAGGCCCTAACTGCATCCTGAAGCACAGTCGCTAGATTCCTGTCGAAATAATTACATAACCCACACTGAGAGCTTCTTCTGAACCACAAATAAATTATGTTAAATGCTGTTTTTCACTATGTGGCTCAGGGGGTAGAGTGTGTCATCTCCTAACCGGAGGGTTGGCGGTTTGATTCCCAGCTTCTTTAGTCCACAGTGTCCTTGACCAAGACACTGAACCCCAGTGGCTGTGTGTTGATGCTTGTGTGCAGGAATGGGTGAGTGGGAAATAATGAGCATCCTTCATTGTGTTGAAAGTGCTGTATAAGACCATTAGTGTCTCATTCAAATGTGCTGTTCAAAGGTTTGTCTCTGGAGGGCTGCCACATGGCTCATCAGTGCAGAGCGCTAAATTTGGCTGATTATACCAACATTTTAACGAACTGAGAGCAAGCCCTGCTTATAGAAACAGTGTCAGCATTGCTCTGGACAACCTATAGACCCTAAGGTCCAGAGGTTTTAGAAAGAAGTTCCACTGACAGCAGTGTATAGGGGGGTTTGTGGATAAATGATCCACTAACAATGGCACTGCTTCTTGAAAGAGACCTGGGGGTTGATTTTACTCTAAGTACTCTGAAGTATTTTTGCATCCAGTATAAAGATATTAATTTCATGTAGATTTATTTTGTAATGAAGATTGTGTGGGTGGCAGGTTGGTGCTGCACTGTTGCCTCACAGCAAGAAGGTTCTGAGTTTGAACCTGGTGGCCAACCGGGGTCCTTTCTGTGTGGATTTAGGTGTTCTCCCCATGCCTGTGTGGGCTTTCTCCAGTTTCCTCAAAGATATGTGGGTTAGGTTGGCCCTAAATTGCCTGTATGTGAATGTGCCTGATTGACAGTATTTCTAGGATAGGTGGTATTGATAATGGGTGCATGAAGTTGTTGAGATGTTCACTTTTATCAAATGTAGTCAACAAAACAGACTGATTACCATCCTGGATAGAGGTTTCCACAGGAGTAGGCAACGTAGCAGGCCATGCCAGCGACTATGGTCCATTTACAGCCCAGATTTTTAATCATGATGGGAGGCAGGAACATGGAGGAGATGATGATGGAGCCATAGATGACGCTCAGAGATGCCACACCCATCCCCTCCTCTGCGTTCAGACTGCTCTGTATACAGAGAGTAGAACTCCATTAGAGGCTGTTGGGTCAGTGAGGTTGTTAAAAATGGATCATCTGACAACAATATGGTCGAGGTCCACATCTGAAGCATGTGATAGGTGGTATGTGTCCACATCCCAGTGGTTCCCCTAAAGTTCCAGTGTTTGTATGATTTGGCTTTTGGGGAAGAATGGGGGAGACTAACAATGAAGGGAAGGGGGCAGCCAGCTACTGTAAACAGGACTCAGTCACATGCAAAGGGAAAGTTGGCGAAGTAGCCTGATAATTTCAATAATAAGGTTTTTTTTTCTACACCAAAGTTTAAAAGGATGTTGCATTCATTGGAACAGTTTACATGAGGTAAAATAGGTTAATTGGGCTGTAAGTTACTGATTTTCATTGAAAAAACTAAGTACTGTAAAAGCACCTAGTGAGCTTTCTGTTCTGTGGAGTTAAATATTGAAATATGGAGGAATTCTCAATGAAACAGTTGGAACATTTCATACAGATGCACTAAATATTCTTTGATGTTTGTAATGTAATTTGCAGAACATTCCACCACCCAACATTCTGGCACTTTTTAGGACTAAAGGCCAGACTAAAGACCGAGCTAAAGGCCAGACTAAAGGCCAGACTAAAGGCCAGACTAAAGGCCAGACTAAAGGCCAGACTAAAGGCCAGACTAAAGGCCAGACTAAAGGCCAGACTAAAGGCCAGACTAAAGGCCAGACTAAAGGCCAGACTAAAGGCCAGACTAAAGGCCAGACTAAAGGCCAGACTAAAGGCCAGACTAAAGGCCAGACTAAAGGCCAGACTAAAGGCCAGACTAAAGGCCAGACTAAAGGCCAGACTAAAGACCGAACTAAAGGCCAGACTAAGGGCCAGACTAAAGACCTGGCTTTCTCCCAGAAGTGCCCTTACACTTTTTGAATTCTTTCTTTATTTGTTTAATTCCTAAATTTATTAAGTTATGATATCTTACTATGTTTTCTGTTTTATTCAAAGTTCTTCTGTTTGTACAGTACCCATTGTTGTTGACATGTTTTCATTCTTAACTCTTTTTTTACAATTGTCCTTTTATTTTTACTGTTATTAGACTTGTGTAAAGCACTTTGGTTGACCCCCGGTTGTTTTAAAGCTCTATATACACTAAATGTATAAATGTTCACTTGACTTTGATTTAATTATGCCTGTATGAATTAACCCCTTAGTAAATCCTTTAAACCTTGACATGATTCAAAGTCCAGAGAGGAAGCCAAGATAAAACTATTCCAGAACCCATTATTTCTCATTTTAAAGGTACAAAGGTACAGGCTGTTAGTCTTTACAGTAAAAAAAATAAAAAAGCTTTTCCAAAATAAAACCCATTACTTAACTGAGTTTTAAAATTCTGAAACTGGTTACTTGAATCAACTCATAAGTCCCTTAAGCTTCCGTGTTACTAACTCCTACATTTCAGTATTTTTACTGAACAATATAAATTTGCACTTACCTGTAAACTCTGTAGGCCCCCGTATGCTGTGAACAGAGACAGGAACCCGAGAGAGACCACCAGCACATTCTTGAAGTTGCGGCTGATCATGGCTGACGTTCAGAAGTCAAACCTCCACAGAGGTACAGAAAAAACAAACAAACAACTGTTATTCTAAGTGGTGTTTTTATTTTAAGAGTACTGGTTTAATATAGCAGCTGCACAGCTCAAGAGTAAAGTGACAGGAGGTTCTCTTTGCTTAATATAGCTGTGAAATAGCTGAGACAAAGTCCAGCCCTCACACACTCTCGCACCCGTCACTGAGTCATTAATATATGTTTTGACCATTAACATTACAGCGCTATCGCTATCTTTTCTGCTTCAGTCCTTGTCTCTGCTTCCTTCTCAGTATTTTTTTTTGTCCTTTCAGTTCTTCCTGGTTCACAGAGGAATTCTTGTTTTTCTCTCTGTAGAAGTTGAGAGTTGTCATACTGCGGGATACATTACAGTTATCACCATACAAACACAACCTGTGGCACAGAGCAAAGGTTTATTGCATGTTATTTTCATTTTTTTTACAAGGGCATCAGCCCATCATCTTTTCAGCTTATTGCTTATAAAATATGCCAAAAAACAGACTCTGTTACCTCAGCTTTACTGAGGCTGATATAAGATAAGATAAGATGAACCTTTATTAGTCCCACAACAAGGAAATTCACAAAACGAATGAGTATGTTTCTGTCAGGCCATGCCCCTCAGGTCCAAGTGATCTGATCTGTATAGCGTTCAGCAGAGTTTGTGCATCCTGTGAATGTTGCTGCAGAGGTTTTTGCATCCTGTAGAGTCACTGTAGAGTTATGTATTCACAGAAACATGCATAAGAAAATTAGAAAACATGGTGTCTTCGTCTTCGTGACTTCATCCAAAACTGGCACAGAATCCAAAAGTAAACTGGCTCTAGATTGTGTTATTGTTTTTAACCCTCCTGTTATGTTGTCAAATTGACCTATTGTAAAGTTAAAACAATCTAAAAACAATAGTTAAAAGTATTTTATTGGTATGAAACTTCTTCTGCTTGGCTTAATAGGTGTAATCAACATATAAAATGAAAATGGTTCATTTCACATATTTGCAACCTCCCCCTGCATGTTTATATTACAAAGATACTGTTCGGGTCAATTTGACCCTGAACAGAAGAGGTGTCTCATGTTAGTTTATCAACATCACTTCATAAAAAGAAAAGATTTCAAAATGTTAAATAAAATTTAATTAAAAAAACCAATGTCATGTAAAAATAATATAGTTTATATGTAGGTCTTTCCAATGTACATCAAAAAAAAGTTTTAACATGCATTTTTTTTATGAAAAACGAGTGAATTATCCTCATCGAACCATAATCTGTGAGAGGTAAAGAACACCATTACACTAAAAAGTGATTGAATTGGTTAGTAATGGTAAAATGAACCCAGGACCATCACTGCTGTTCCTGAGAAAGGAACGTAACAGGTGGGTTAAGATCAGAAATTGGATATTTCTTGCAGAAATGCACAGTGGGAGTTTTTAATGACGCTTGTACCATTGACTTTTCAGTAATATCTTAATGTTGCATGAACCCACTTCTTTTGTTTTACTGTATATCTGGGCCTTTAACTTGAATGCCAGTGACATGGTTGAGATTATCTGCTGAGATTATCTAAGAGACCTCTGGGAGACCTATGGCGTGTATTCAAAGTGGACGTTGGACTGCAGTGATATTCTTCACAGCCAGAGACGTGTCTTCACAGACGAAGGTGCCAAGTTTAGGACTGGGCGATTACTGTGCTTCGCCAAGTTTTCCATAAAGAAAAAGAGGTAGTTTAATTATCAGTTATGCTTTGGACAACCATTAAAATGGCAGGAAATCAGTGCCAGACTTTACCGAATTACCTGAATGACTGACTCCTCTTCTGTCATTGAAAGTCATTATATCCAGTTGTGACATGATGATGGTACCCATGATGTATTGATGACTGACAACATCTTGACTTTGGAACTGTTTACATGAATAAGTGGAAAACAAATATTTATTTTACAGGCCAGGACTGCAAAATAAATATTTTGCAAGCAGCGCTCGACGGGTCTTCTCTGCACTGAGGAGACCAGAGATAGTTTACACAGAGCCACCAATTGTGTGATACCAGGGTTGGACTGTGGCTTTACAATATATGGCTTTTTTATTGACTTCTATAGATGTTTCCACCCTGTTGTTAAGATGCAGTTTGGTGTGGCCACATGGTGTTTTATCAGCTTTATGATGACATGTAGCTGATACCATCCTCTGTTACAGGTTTGTTATAGCTGTTTACTGGCCGTTCTCTGATAGGAGCGATGATGATGAGATGATTCAATCGAGTTATAAATAATGTTCTGTGTAATGTGCTTTTAAAAATGTACTTATTTAAGCACTTCTGGTAGTGTTATCAACCTGGTTATTATAGTATTAGCATACAAATATGCTTGAAGTACCAAAAGTAAAAGTACTCATTATGTAGAATGGAACTTTACACTGAGATTATTATTATTGTTGTATTATTGTGTTCATCACTTTAATGTGTGAAGATGAAACAAATTTTATGCTCAAGTTCCAGTCCACTTTGTGTTTGCAAGTGTATGGTGGCATCATGGTGCAAGGACAATAATCCTCAACACAGACAAGATGAAGGAGATGATAGTGGACATGAGGAAGGAGAGGAGATCTCATCGGCCACTGTTCATCCGGGGGCTCGAGGTGGAGAAGGTGAGCAGCTTCAACTGTCATGATCCGCTGCTTCCCGTCCGGCTTTTATTTTGACGTTACTTCCTTAGTTTCGGTCTTTTTACGTTCTTCATCACTCACACATTAGTTTCACCTGTTTCCTGTTCTGCCTTGCCCTCTTATTTCGGACTGCTTCAGTGTATTGGCTTAACATATTTATCTTTGGACAACGCGTTTTAGATTCCCCTGGATGGATGTGTTTGCTGGCTCTGACCTCGGACTGTTAAGGACATGTGAATTTTGTGTTTCCACCGTGTCTTGTATGGTTTTCTTTTGTTCAACGTTAGTTCTCTTAATAAAGAGACGGTTTTGTTTTACACTTCCTCGGTTGGCCATTTAATTGAGTTCACATAACACTTTTGGCCGCATTACACGCGTCGTTTCTGACATCAACTAGCTGGGTGTCCACATCAGTGAGGACCTCACTTGGACACAAAACTGCTGGTCAAGAAGGCCCAACAGCGGCTGTACTTCCTGAGGAGGTTTGGCATGTCGCCTAGGATCCTTTGCAACTTCTACAGCTGCATCATTGAGAGCATCTTGACCAGCTGCATCACTGTCTGGTATGGCAGCACTACTGCTATGGACCGCAAGCGCCTGCAGAGAGTGGTAAAGACTGCAGAGAAGATCAACAGGACTCCACTCCCCTCTCTGCAGAGCATTTACCACCACAGGGTGTGTAGGAAAGCTGCCTCCATCCTCAAAGATCCCACCCACCCCCAACATGGACTGTTTTATACACTTTGACCTTGACATATCTGACTATACAGAGGTGGAAAGTAACTAAGTACATTTACTTAAACAAATTGAGAGGTATTTGTACTTTATATGAGTAGTTCTATTTCTGCTATTGAATACTTCACTACATTTCACAGGCAGATATTGTACTTGTTACTCTACTATGAGTACTTTTGGTACTTGAAGTATATTGTGATACTAATACTTTTTTTTTTTTTTTTTTACTTTTACTTAAGTAAAATTTTGAATTCTCAATTTCAGCAGCCTGATCTAAATATAGCTTTCATTGAGCCTGATTTCTGACCAGCAGAGGGACTCAGTGTTCACAGTTTAATCCTCAAAACCTGGACAGATGCAGTAATACTGCAGTCATTGTACCCACCAAGTGTAACTTTTTCCAATAGAAATCAACACAGTATGTAATGGAATAAACCAAAGTTCTACCTTTAAAATCTAAATGACAATAGCAATATGACTTTTTTCCATCATTACATGTGTTTCACAATTAGCTGCTTGGTTGTATTTTGTATTCTACAACAAATAAAGTACAAGTGTTTATAAAGTACATGTTCTGACAGATTTTTATTTTTAATACACTAAGTTTTACTGATATATCTGTACTTTTACTTACGTTTAAAGGGTTAACTATGAATGCAGGGCTCCAAGTGAATATTTTTACATGGTGCGATTGCTACTTTGGGTCAAGAAAACAATTTGAATACTACTTTGGCTCGTGTCAAATGTGAAGTAATGTGAATAACATACGTGGGATGACAGCGGCTTAAGGTCAGATACCAGAGGAGTTGAATAATCTGTTGAAGCTCTGCAGCTTTCACAGCGTCATCCTGCAAGAATTCAGTTAATGTACTTTTTTTTTTTTTTTAAGTAACTATTCTGTCATAAGGGGAATGAATACTTCATTCCAGAGCAACACATAGCAGAGGATTTAGATACGTCTGTCTTAAATATTGAATAATATCTGCTTCACAACGATTCAAATAAAACCTCACACACTCACATCCCACCTCACCAGGTGGTTCCCAGCTTACCTTCCAATCCCTAGGTGCCTTTTATAAACCTTTCAAAGAAACAGCTTGGCTGTATCCAGAGATTCCGCTATTTTTGGTTTTGTTCTGTTTGCCTTTCTGTCACAGTTTGCTGCTCTCTTTTCCGCTGTCTCCGTCTCCCACACTGTTGACTGTTCTTTTCCGCCCCAGGGAGCCACTCCTTGCTGCTAGCGCACATTAAACAGTCAACTCAACTCATTCCCAGCATAACGGTGACTCAAGATGCTTTTACATAAGGGACAAACGGAACAGAGTAATGTGCCGTGTCTTCACAAAGTTCCCTCAGAAACATAGCAAACTACTAACTAGTAGTAAAGATGACTAGTAAACGGACCTTGCTGTGTACAAATAGTTGAATTCCTGATCAAAATGTTTCATTGGATACAGTTTAGTTGTGTTTTAATGAGAAAAACAGGTTTGGAAGGATAAATTCTGTGTGAAACGTGTAATCAAACAAGTTTTAACTGACAAGACCAAACTCAAGTTAGAGTAAAAGACTAATCTCAGATCCATATGTCCGTACAGTGATATATCATAGTATCGATGCAGTAGACACACGGTACAGAGAGTACGGAGCAAACAGTCATGGCTAACACAAAGTTGTAGCATCAGAACCCTGACAACATCTAAACACAGCTATACAAGGGTCTGATAGCTTGATGATAACCACATGTGCACGCACACAGACACAGCTGTGGCACTTCATTAATAAACCTCTTTGCAAGTGTGTGTTTGTGAGACAGAGTATTAGCCACTGGAGGACGCTGTTACACACAAAATAACTAAAGATTTTTTAGTAGTACCACTTAACTGTGTTCTGTTGTTTTTTTGTTAGAGAACAGGAAATATATGCATAAAACAGTTTTGTACAAACAGGAAACATGTGCCAGAGATGTGATTTGTCTGATATGTTCAAAACTTCACCATATAAAACCGTGTTAATGCTCATTTTAGTTTATTCTGAATAACTGTTTTTGTTTAAAGCAAAGGAAGAACAGGCCTTTATTTATTAAACATGATTCATATTAACACAAAATGAGAATAAGGCAGTTTTTTCCTTTCTTTTGTGGATGTGCTGCTTCATACAGGCCACTTATAGCTGCAAAGGAAGAATTCATTATATCAGACTGAGCTGGATCATGCTCTCTAATCCTAGAGCGCTACCTGTCTGGTGGGGAAAAGCACGCTCTCACACACACACACACTTGCACTTCTATTTCTGTGAGGACACTCATTGACATAATATATTCCCTAGCCCCTTACCCTAATAGCTAACCATTAGAACTAAATACCTAACCCTAGATCTAATGTGAACCCTAAAACCAAGTCTTAATCCTCAGAAGGGTGTTTCAGAAAATGAGGTCCAGCCAGAATGTCCTCTCTTTCCAAAAATGTCCTCACTCTGTAGTAAAACAATCACTATGTAGCAAATACAAGAACACACGCATGCATTCTTCCTCCTCCAGCCTCTCTCTTCTTACCCAGTCCTCCAGCTCTCTCATCCAGGTCCCTGCTGGAATCTCAAACCTGTGTGTGAACCAGACTGTGTTTTTAAAGACCGAGACTGCTACTGATCCTTCTGGTTTGAAGATGTCAACAGCCTTCGTAGCTTTAAATCATTTTACTTTTATGATAAATAATTGTAAGTATCTAGTGTTCCTCTCTGAATTTCCTTTTAGTCTGTACAGAAAAGCCCCTGGAGCAAAAGTCTTTGACATTAAACTCACACAAAAAGAAGAAGTAATAACATAATAAAACAGTTCTACATACAGTCTAATGATTATTTGTCCGTAGAGCCAGTTTCCATAGACAAAAAGTGAAGTATTAATAATGAGATTAATCAGACAGATCTGATTTTTAATAGGCCTTATATTAATCACATAAATAGTTCTAAGCTGTAAATAACAATGGCATCCAGCCCACCAGACGAAGCAGGTTGGACAGCAGTGGTACGGACCCCACCCAAAATCTGACTGACCTTTCATTTGGTCATTTTGAACAAAGACCCAGTGAAATGCTAAAAGATATGAAATTGCCCAAGTTGTGGTACAGAATCTGACCATTTTACTATCCTTAAACTGAGAATATGTATGTAAAAATATATGTTGCAGCTTCACATGCAGAGAGAAACATGCCTGCTATGGCTGGTCGTGTCTGACTAATGCTGCCAGCATAAAGAGTTTGTTTACAGCTTTTAAATAGCATATCGTTCAAATGTGCATTCCTTGACAACAGAAACTTGAGGAGGGCCTGAGGTGAGGGCAGAGGTGAAAGGTTATCATTTAGAGAAAGGAGAGAAAAGGAAGCCAGCTCAGACATCACCGATTTCCTTCCTCTCACAACAACACAGGCCCTTTTGTAACGGAACAGCAGAAATCCAGATAAGAACAACGTGAGCAGAGATTGTGATCACAGAAACAATAATGGCATTTTGTTTGTATTATAAAAAGAAAGATGTTGTTGATGAAATACAACATTTATTCAGAGATAATCTTATGATATTTTGGGGCTGTTTGAAAATGATATGATTCATTTATTTGACGTTTATCAGTGCGAGTCATTTACCCGAAAATGATTTTTACATGGTCGTATCAATAAAGATATTTAGAAAAATAACTTTATAAGAGATTAAAAGTGAAATGCATTATAAATGTATATTAATAATTATTCAGTATCCACAATAATCACATTGATTAGATTGATTTCTTTTAGACAAAGAGTTTAAACATGCTGTTATTTTTTTTAAGTTAGAACTGAAAACATCAGCTAACTAGTTTTTTTACTGAGCATATAAACTGTCATCATCTTCCTCAGCAGAGGGAGGTACTATTATTAAAACAAATCTGTTCTAGTTCATTGAGCACTCACAGTGATTTAGTTTTAATGGAGCAGCGTCAGAAGGACTGAAGTCACCCCTCAGAGAAACCTTTGACCCCCTTCTGGAGCCAGACCTGGGAGGGTCACACAGCAGAGGCCTTTGTTTGGAATGTAACGTCTCCGTTTAGGAAATAAAAAGAGTTTGTGCAATAAGTTGAGAAGAATTAGGTGTAATATGCTCACAACGGCTTCACTTCTGGGAGTTGTCACAGCATCCAAATTGTCTATGCTTGTTTCATGTAACTTGCTTTATCGTTATTACGAAGAGCAGTTGCATGATGTGGGATTTAATTAAGAGCTATGCAAATGTTTTTAATGTAAGATTATTAATGTGGAATACTAAACAGGATAATTCAAACGAGCAGAATCCTTGCACGTGCTGAAAAGCATGTATTGGCCTGAGTCAGATCTGTGCTAACCACATAGCAGCTGCTGGCAGTTCTGCCTCATGCTTAATAACCGCAGCAGGCAGCGACTCAGCCTTTTGCTTATCTGTGGCAAGCTTCACTTTTAGCTTTCAGCCTCTCGCACTTTATTTAGGTGTCAGCCTCTGCCAGCCACCGTGACATGTGTGGGTATTTCAGCAGTTCACTGTCATTAGTGGTTTCAGTAGGTTTCTGCAGCTTAAACCAGAGATGAGCTCAGCTTGTGTCGCTGTCATTTGGCAGGAAGCTTGTGTTCTCACTAATATACACAGAAATGTCTCACTGTTGTGTTTCTAATGTCAGGTATGTGAGCAAAGTGGAAGTAAAGCATTAGCTGTAAGTGAGCAGTGTGCTTTAATGTCTTTGAACCCTTCTTTTTTAGGTCAGTAATTGTACTTTAAACTACAGTATATTTTAGGATTGTATCATGTTGTCTATAGGGTTAACTACGGGTCATTTTCTTTATTAACTGATCTCAACCACTTTTTAAAATTACTGATGGGAGTCAGTTTTTTCTGAGTCCTCTGGTGAAATTAGAGTAGCTTACATAATAGAGAGACATTTAGCTCAAGTGTAACTATGGGACGAGACAACAGTGTGACACTTTGGACACCATGCTTGTTGTTATTCCTCTTCCCTGGTCATCTTACACTAAATCTGCTTTTGCTTCATAAGGATGTTTTACTTTGTTTTTCCCTGGCAGTGATTCTCATGTGTGTATTGTTTGTTCCAAGTTACATCTTGCAAACGGGCTTTGTGTTTTACTACCAAACCATTCATTGTGACTGTGTGTGTGTGTGTGAGAGACACCAGATGACCCATTGTTATGTGTTTGCTGACATGGTGCATCATCCACAGGCCTGATACTGTTGCTTTCCCAGCAGCACAATGAACAGGCAATGCAGAGACGCTGAGCCCAACACTCCACGGCTCCTATTTAGCTGAATGACACACACACACACACACAGAGAGAGCGAGAAAGAGAAAACACAAAAGAAATGTGTGTGTTGACATTTCAAACGGAATGAGAGTCCACGGGTTCAGTTTTTCATTTTCTTCAGCCGTGTGGAAATATGAGCAATAATTTTTAGGCATAAGTAAACTGAGTTTTTAAGGCTGATGTGATTTGACAAGAGCAGTTTGCTTATTATTAAAAACAGTCTGAAGATTAGTTCCTGGAGGTGTGGCTGCATCTGTAATAGTTAGTTTGTCAGTAGCACAGGTAACAATGTGCTCTGCATTGACAGGTATTTAAATCACAAATTGCAGAACATGAAGCGATAAATCTGAGTGAATTATATGTTAATTTATGTTTTAGTTTTTGCAAGGGAAA